CTTGCTCTTTTCTCTGCTCTGTTGGTTTAAGATAGGAACTCTGATGCAAATTCTTAAATTGCAATTACAGTGTTAACTTGCTCTTTTCTCTGCTCACTGTTGTTTTAAGATAAGAACTCTGATTCAAGGTTACTCAGAGATCTATTGCCAGTCAGCCAAGTTTACAAAGTAACAATCTGGAAAAAAAAGAGGGAAAACAGATGCTTTAAAATCCAGGCAGATTCAGCCAAGTTTGTTACAAAAGATTTATAGTAAATAAAAAAAAATATGAAAAAGGCTACAAGTATAAGAGATGTGGTAGATTCACTAATGGTCAAGTTGTAACACCAAGCTGAACTGAATCAGTGTGGTGCTGGGTGTGGAAGGCCCCCCTGAGGATTGTTGCCAGCAACCTAAAAAGAAAACTGGAAGGGAAGATGGTGTGCTGTTGATCCTCCTGAAAAAGCTTGCCATGCTGGCTTTCCTGATATGAACTTGGATGTTCTTATCAACAGAGGAGCTCAGGTCCTCATTGTTACCAAGGATAGTTACAGTTCTCTTTGGAAGAACTCTGGTCCTTACTTTGAGCATCACTTCTTAGTTCCAATGCAGATCCTTCAGCCTGCTGGGATGGATCCTTCTTCCTGCTGCTGCAAACTTTCTAGCTTCCACCAGTGACCTTTGGATCTTCCCAGTGTGGGTCCTCAATACAGACCTGCATGAGACATTGTCATGGTGCTCGGCCTCCAGTTGGACTGGTGAAGGACATTGTCATGGGTTCTAGGTTTTCAGCTGGACTTGTGCAGGACATTGCCATGGCATCCAGACCCTCAGCTGGATTCTTTGGATGTCTGATGTGTGGACAGATCTTCTGCAGTTGTCTACATTTGACTCTTTGGGTAAATATTATAAAATAATTCTATAAATTAATTTCTTTCACATTTACATTAAATTCCTTTCTCATTTACATGAACTATTTTCCTACGATGAGTATATTCTAGCACACAAATGAAGTCTCAGTAAATGTTGAAAGAACTGAATCATACTTTTTGGTCAGCAGAAGTAAGCTAGACATAATAACAGAAAGATAATAAGAACTTCCCAAGATATTGAAAAATTACGCAATATAATACCAAAATAACCAAATGAGTCAAAAGAGAAATTGCTAGTGAAAATAAAAGCACATATAACTAAGTATAAAAAATAACTTGTCACAACTTATGCAAGGAAGTTGTGTAAATGAATTTTATACTTAAGGAGAAAGGATGAAACTTAGTGATCTAGCAGGCATCTCAAGAAGTTAGAAAAAGAACAACAAAGTTAACCCAACAAATACAGAAAACTGAAATAAGAAATTTAGAGATCAATAAAACAGAAACTAAAGTACTATAAAGTAAATCAACAGATCATAACCACATTAATCAGGGTCCAATCAGGAGATGGAAATCACACTAGTGTCCCTGTTCACATTAGGTTCACCATGTTGACACATGGGCCTGAGTATCTCAGTCTCTAGTTTTCACATATGAATATTGGGCCCCTGTAGGGGCAAGGACTAGGCTTTTGTAGCCACCACTGTGTCCCCAGCATCACCTGCCCAAGGCCCAACTGAGAGGCAGTGTCAAGGAATGCTTGCCTAGTGAACATCCGGGCAAGCTCTCCCAAGCTCACACTGCCCATGAGGGCTGGTGGGCTGGAGAAGCAGCCTGGTTTCTATTGGATGGAAACTGTCTTGGTTACTTTTTTCTCGCTGCTGGGACAAAATACCTGACGCCCAAAATTAAGGAAAAAAAGGTTTATTTCGCTTATAGTTTGTGGAGGTTTCAGTCTGTACTTGGCAGATTATAAGGCAGAGTGGCACATGGCAGAGGGCTGCAGCTCCTGGCATCTGAACACAGCAAAGCAACTACCAGGACACACACACCAGGGCAGAATGGAGGAGGAATGTCCCCAAGCAGCTTCTTCCTCTCCCTTACATATGCAAACTATCCACCCCAGGGCGGGTGTAGCTCTCACACCCACAATCATTCAACTCTAATAGCCTGTCCCATGTCCGCATGAGGCATTGGGGGGACACACAGACATAAACCATAACATTCCACTCCTGGCCCCGCAAAGACTCATGCCCATCCCTTCATACAAACAGCATTTAGTCCATCTGTAAGAGTTGCCAAAGTCCTAACAGTTTTAGCACTGCTGAAAAGTCCAAGTCCCAAGTCTCCCCCAAAATGTAAGGCAAATTCTCAGCTGTGAGCCCCTGTACAAATGAAAAGTTAAACACTTCCAACATTCAGTGGCACAAAATAAGCAGTACCATTCCAAAAGGTACAAACAGGCGGACACAGAGCATTGGGACCAAAGCAAGTCTAAAATCCAGCAGGGCTGACGTTATGTCCTGTAATTTTATATGTGGCATCTGAAGCAACTTGTGGCACATTGTGAGCTCCAAAGGGCTTGCATGAGTTTACCCCTGTGGCACTTCTGGTGGTTACAGCTTTTATGACTTTTTTCTTAGGCCTGCTTTGCTCCCTCCATGCAGTTTTTTTCAGACAATCCACAGTCCTGGCTTTTTTAAACTTCTGAGGTCTCTAGGGCACCTTTTGCTTTACACTCACAGCCTCACATATTGCCCTCTCAGGGGCACACTGCCTGGCCTCCCAGGCCTTCTGAAATCTGGGTGGAAGCCTCTTTAACCTCAGAACTCCTGCATTCTCCATGCACTTAAAGCCAGGGCCACGGGGATGATGTCAAGGTCTGCTGCCACCTGGAGCAGTAGCCAAGCTTTTCTCTCTCTTGGCCACAGGGGTTGAGTGCCTGGATCGCTGGGCACTCTGAATCTAATTTTGAGGAGCAGGTTTTTTATGCTGCCGCCATTCTGGAACCTGGGGCAGCCACCGCCGCCATTCTGGAACATGGCGCTCAATAGCTTTTTCCTCAAGGCAAGGTCTTTCACCTTTGCAGTTTTGAGGCTGCAAGGGGTGGAGACTTGCTGCTTCTTGTGATGCCCTTAGGCCATCTTTTCTATTCTCCTGTTTCTTCTCAGGAATGGAGATCTCCTCAGCCTTATCTTTGCAGTCCACAGCATTACTGGAGCTTCCTTTTTGGCCAAACTCACATTTTAAATCATCTTGCTGGGCTCTTTGTTCTTGATTTTTAATATAAATCTGGCTAAAAGCCCCCAACAATAGCCATGCCACTACCCCAACGTTTGACTGCCTTGAAATTTCTTTTGCCAGATTAATCAGTCCGCTGCCACCCTTAATCTCAGTCTTAGGCAAAGTCTCTGGACACGAGCAAAATGCAGACAAACTTTCTGCCAAGCCATAACACACATCATCTGGAGTCCAACAGCCAATGGAGTCCTTCTTCCCAGCAGAAACCTCCCGAACCTGGTCTTCACCAGCAGAATTTCTATTAGCTTTCTGATCTTCTGAGCTCTGACCAGAATCTCCCAAACAGAACAGCTGAAGGCGTTCTAGTGCTTCTCTTTCAGGCGACAACTCCAAACCTTTTCAAACACTCCCCACAAGCCATTTCCAAAGGCTCTTGAACCACATGGTCAGATATAGTCACAGCAATGACCCCACTCCTGGTACCAAATTCTGTCTTGGTTACTTTTTTCTCGCTGCTGGGACAAAATACTTGACGCCCAAAATTAAGGAAAAAAAGGTTTATTTCGCTTATAGTTTGTAGAGGTTTCAGTCTGTACTTGGCAGATTACAAAGCAGAGTGACACATGGCGGAGGGCTACAGCTCCTGGCGTCCAAACACAGCAAAGCAACTACCAGGACACACACACCAGGGCAGAATGGGAGAGGAATGTCCCCAAGCAGCTTCTTCCTCTCCCTTACATATGCAAACTATCCACCCCAGGGCGGGTGTAGCTCTCACACCCACAATCATTCAACTCTAATAGCCTGTCCCATGTCCGCATGAGGCATTGGGGGGACACACAGACATAAACCATAACAGAAACCCAGCCTAAGAGACACAGGGGACAAAACCTGGGTGCAGGCCAAAGGTAGGGCTTTTGCCCTGGTCCTGTTACCTGTAAATGGAGGCCAAGGGGCAGTTAAGCCATATGTTGTTGGTCAACGTGCCCAGCTGGTAAATGTCAAAGATGAAGTATGACTGGTCCACTTCCTTAGCAGGGTCACAGGGTACAAGGCAGGTTTCTACCTGCATCTCAGGCCTCAAGCGGGTGTGTGGCAGGTTCTCCTCTCTCAGATAGAGTCCACAGGACATGGGTTTCTCCTGGGGCTCCTCAATATAGCAGTAGCCCAGGCGCTTACGTTCGCCAGGCACCCCACAGCGGTTACAGACCTGCCAGGGCTCCCACTGGGTGAAGATGAGCACCTCACCTCCTAGCCTAAGGGTCTCATTCTGAAGGGGTTGTTGGTCCAGGGCTTTGTGTGTAATGTGCAGGGTAGTGACATCTTGGAAGTCAATTTCATATTCCACTATGAGGATATTGTGATTGTCCTGGCAGCGATAGAGACCTGACTGGGAGGGCTGAGGGTTGGTCAACTGTAGGCTGCCCCCAGGCAGGTTCTTTATATTATGCATTGAGTTGATCAGGAAGAGATCCTCCCCTAGAATGGAGGAGAAATACCAGAGTGCCCTAGGAAGGTCGCACTTCAGGACAATATCATTGCCGGAGAGTAGGGACTGTTGGCATAGATTCTTGTAGGGACAGCTGATTAATGGCTGGGCCCAGAGAGAGGGGAAAGAAAGGCCAGTCAGCCACAGGGTGGCCAGCATGGTAGACTGAGACAACAGGGCGATTCTGAGAGCCATGCTGGGCTTTGTAAAGTCACCCACAGAATTCAGGGATTAGCCCTGGGAAGCAGAATGAATACTGGTCCTGAGCTTTCAGGAAATATAATTAGTAGATGTCACCCAAAGGCCTCTTGTAGGTTTTAGGGCAGAAAATGCAAACATCCACAGGAGCTATGCAGGAAACAAAATGAGTAAACTTAAGTCAGAACAAATGAACTAAAAAGGCCAATTATTTACTTTATACATATCTAATATACTGTGATGAACTGGGACAAATGGGTTCCTGTCCATCAGAGAGAGGAGGAAGGGAAGACACTCAGGAATCTCTGGTCAGTACCATTTCTAAAATCCAGTGGGAAGATACTCTAAGGGCCTCATATCTTGTTGGTGGAGAGGATTCCTTAGTAACAAATCAGCCAGTTGATTGGGCTGGGGGCTTCCTAAGTGATTCTCTGCCTCTTGTCTCTGATCTCCAGGGACTTTTACTGTTGCCCATTGCCCTCCTTGGATATGCCTGAAGCAGCATTGGGAGACTGGACTCCTTGAGACAGCCTCTATTTTCTCAGCCTCCTTTCTGTCCCCCCAATTTTTTTTTTTCTGGTACCAGGAATCGAACTCACGACCTCGTGCTTGCCAGCCAGGCGCTGTGCTGCTGAGCTAAATCCCCAGCCCCTTGTCCCCCAAATTTGAGATCTAAGGATTCTTATAAACCTCCAGTCAATCCCATTTATTTTTAAAAACCACAGTTCTGTTCAACTTTCTCTCCCTCTCCCTGTCTCTCATACTGCAGGTCCCTTCAAGTTTATCTGGCTTCCTTGGAGACCTATATCCTTTATCTTCCACAGAGACATCTGTCCACCTGAAAGGATTTTCTGATAGGCTCTTAATTCTTTCAGAGATTTCCACAGTAGTTAATTAACAGTGATTTGACTGGTGCCATTCTCTTGAGCTTATCCTTGGCAAAAGAAACAGAGATTTCTGGGCTTTGTCTTTCTCAGTTTTCAGCCAACTTTGCCCAATATCCACTCCTAACATCCTCTATTCCAACTGCTTCTCCTAATGCCGCAAGCTCCTTAAGGACAATAGCTGAATCCCAAAGCATCGCAGACAACAGTCTCCATCTTCTGGAGGATGTTTCCTTGTTCCCAGTGTATCTAAGATGATGCTGTCTATTTAGGGTTTCGGTTACAACAACATTTCATTACTGAAGCTGCTACCAGCTAGCATGATTCCTTGCTTCAGTGAAAATGGAAATCAAAATGGAGAAAACAGCTCACACTTACAGGCAAAAGTTTTAATCTGAAAGTAAGAGGAAACAAGAAGGGACTTTAGCTTAAGAAGAACATAAGCTACAGAGGGCACTGTCCTGATGGAGATGAGGGCAGCTCCTTCAAGGAGAGTGAGGGGAAAAGCAAAGGGACAGACTTCAGCTTGAGGAGCTAACAATGGCACGGCTCTGACCAGACTGGCCTCTTAACAAAGGAAAAGCCACATGTTTTTAAGGGGTTGCTGAGGTGGGCTAGGATGTGGTTGTGATTATGTCAGGCCCATCCTCATGGCTTGAGGGGCAATTCTGTTTCCCCCGAGAGGAATGTTCCTGCCTGGGGCTCAGTCTTAGCAGAGTGGAGGCTCTGCTGGAATCTAAGATGACTATAGGTTTAGGGCAAAGACCAGAGACTTCTTGGTGCTCACCCCAGGGGAAAGAAGCTGGTGGGTGAGGGTCCCTGTGAATCTCGTATTTTGGTGTCCTGAAGGAGGATGAAGTAGGTTAGGTAAATTTAAGGCCAAGAAGCCTTACATTACCAGTTCTGGACAGACACTCCCTAAACAATCAGTCCCCTCCCTACAGGGCTGAGCAGGGATCTGACCCAAAGTTTTGAGGCAATACAGGAGAAAGATGCAAAATGAAGATAGAGACATCCAACTATACCCTCTTTTAGTTACCCATTGGGTACCTGAGTACACAAGTAAAGAGTCATTATTTTTAGCAAAAGCAGGTCTGAGTCGTTGACTGCCTCAGAAGAAAACACAAGTCATGCTTTTAATGAGGAACAGATTAAGAGGCCAGCAGCCTGTTCGTCCTCTGTGCCTCTATGATCCCTAAAGTTCTATTTTATTTATTTTGGGGGTTGTTTTTTGTTTTTTGAGAAGGGTATCACTATGCAGTTCAGGCTGGCCTTGAACTCACTGTGTAACCCAGGCTGGCCTCAAACTCATGGCAATCCTCCTGCCTCAGCTGGAGGACTTACAGGTATGTGCCATCACCACCAGCCCTTATTTATTTTTTGTGGTACTAGGATTTAAACTAGGGCCTTTCCACTAAGCTCCTCCCTAGACTTTTTTTTTTTTGAGACAGGGTCTCAAGTCATAAACCTCCAGAGTGGGCTCAAACTTCCAACCTTGTGATTCAGCTTCCCAGAACGTTGGGATTACAGATGTGCACCACCCTGCCCAGCTGCCCAATAGTTTTATTTTTCATCTAGCTTATTCGTGGAGACACTATGGCAGAGGTGTGTTCACTTTAATGGTGTACCTAAGTTTCAAGGTTGATGAGATTGTTCTGGAGAGTGAGGGTGGGCAACACGATACACCATATGTACCATATTTTCACTGGCCCAGGAATGTACCTGCCCTCTGTCCCTGGAAGTCTCTCACCTCTAACAAGTCTCAAAATTAATTTTGGTATCAATCAAGATAGGCTATTTGATACTATGATAAACTTCCCCCAAACCTCAGTGACTTAAAATAGCAGAGGTCTACTTCTCATGCTCCATGTCCACAGTGGACAGTGGTTTCAGTCATAGTCTCACCTCTCCATTCCAGGCACATTCACTTACTCCATAATAATTACTGCTTACCCACCTTGCACCAGGCACCAGAGATGCAGGCAAAGTCTCTAACCTCTTAGAGCTTATCTCCTAGTGAAAATGTATTAGGATGGGTTAGATTGTGCTATGTAACAAAAGAATTCTGGAATCTTAGGGGCTTAACACAGTTCTTTTTTCCTGTTATATGTCTGGCATTGGCTGGTGGACAGCTCTATATCACAAGATCCCTATACATACCACCTACAATATCACGGGTTGCTATACCTGGAGAAGGGAGGATGAAGAGTCATGCACTGGGAATTAAATGCTTTGTCTGGAAAGGACCCACGTTACTTTTGCTTACAGGATATCCCCACCTAACCACAGTTGGGCTGAGAAATGTAGAGACACATGGGATATTTGCTGAGTAATATTGTCTTTACACTAGGAGAAGGTAAATGGCAAACAAATAAATGCTCACCAGAATATCAGATCACAGTAAGTGCTTTGAAGGGCAAAAGCAAGGAGAGAAAAACTGGGGACAGAGACTACTGTGGGATGAACTGGGTCCCTCCACCCCCATGCTGAAGCTCAAATCCCCATATATCAGTGACTATATTTGGGAAAAGGGTACTTTAAAATGTAACTGAGTTAAAATGGGCTCATTAGGGTGGGTTTTAACTTGATGTAATTGGTGTTCTCATAAGAGGAGCAAATTGGGACACAGAAAATACACAGAGGAGGGTGACTATACCAGGAGACAGCAGAAGGATAGCCACCTGCAAGCCAAAGGGAAAGCCTGCTCAGAATGAAACCAAACATGCTAATACCTTGGTGTTTCCAGAATGATGAAGAAATAAGCGTCTACTGTTTAAGCCATGCAGTCTGTGGTATTCATTACAACAGCTGTAGCAAACTGGTACAGGGAGTATTTCAGAGAAGTGGTGAGTAATTAATTCCAACACTCAGGAGTCTGAGCAGGATCATGAGTTTGAGGTCAGCCCAGGATACACAGCAAGTTCAAGGTCACCCTGAATTACATAGCAAGATCCTGTCTCAAGCAAGCAAGCAAGCAAGCAAGCAAGCAAGCAAGAAAGCAAACAGACAGACAAGTGGGAGAAGAGGAGAGAAGGCCTTCTGAAGAACTGGTATTTGAGCAGATGTTTTTAAAGATGAGCCATGAAGACTGCAGAGGTGATGAAGTCTGGACTAAGCACACAGCACATGCAAAGGCCTTGGGGTGAGAAGGGGTTTGGCGTGTGTGCGCTTCCTGAGGCCACCAGCAACACACCTGTGAAGTAAGTCAGGTGAATTTGACTCATGCCCGGAGAAAAGATGTCATACCATGAGGAAGTGTCTCGGCAAGAAGCTGTCAGAAAAGACTTACAGAATGTGGGCTCTGTCATGTGATTTGGGGGAACAGTTCAAGGAAGCGGGGAGTCCCTCTGGATTGGGCTCTGTCAGAAGCACAACTAATTCTATCTTACCTAAAAGCTGAGCAGAATGGAGTGAAGCTAAAACTGCAGGTGGCAAAGAAGCAGTAGTCACTCATAGTAGCTGGGGTAGGAGGATGCTTGGTGTTTTGTGGCGGGGACAATGTGCCTGTTTGCTCCATGTACGTGTGGAGTGGCTGAAGCTGGAGAATGATCACACATGTGGGGCTGGAGCAAGGCCAGTCTGAGAACAAAGAGTTCCCGAGGTGAGCCAAGGGAACAAGCTGCCCCATTCCAGAGAACACCAAGGCAATCCAAGCAATGGGTTGCTAGGCAGAGGGGTGTCACGTGACATGGACCTGCCGAATGTATAAATAAACACGTTGCGGTGGTTGAACGGTACCTTTTCCTCCAGTCCGAAGTGAGGGCTCCACCTGACCCCAGCTTTCTGTATCTTGTCTTCATTTCTTCTTCTCACCACCCTTCACAGTGCTCACCCTGTGAAGTTTGAGAGCTGCACTGGATGCAGCGCATGTGCAAGAGACATAATTGAAGAATGCACTTATTTTTGTCTTGACTCATTAGAGTCAAGAGTCTGGGGGCTGGGGATTTAGCTCAGCGGCAAAGCGCCTGCCTGGCAAGCATAAGGTCGTGAGTTCGGTTCCCGGTACCGGAGAAAAACCAAAAAAAAAAAAGAGTCTGATGAAATCCTGTGAAAACTGCTGATGCTCACGAGAGGACACCATGATCGGTACGTGAGCTCTAAGACACCTTCTAGCAACACCAAGACCCATTATTTTGTCCAGTCACCCCCAGCCATCAGGAGCTGATTTCTCTCTCACACATATTTGTGGAATATGCAATGAAGCCTCTTCCTTCTACAGAAGGCTGGTAAAATGGCTTTCTCTCTGTAAACCTCAGTTTCCTCATTTTCAGATGTTTTGCTCTTGTAAGGGTTTGATGCGTTGTTGCACGTGAAGTGCTCAGCCAGGGTTATTACTAGGGGGTGATCAGTAAGGACCCTGTCCTCCAGGTACCAGAGCTCTGTCCTCACTGTGCGTTGCTGCTTTTGATCACAGAGGTGCAGCAACAGAGACAGGCTGCCATTGCTTCAGTACTCACCAACCAACAGGACTGCCTGAGGACATAAGGGGATACATGGCCCTGGGTTTGCACTGCTGGGTGTTTTTACCCACTCCTGGACACAGGACACTTTAGGATTAGGACATTCAAAAGCAAGGATACAGGAGAATTTAGAAAGACACTGCACAAGCTCAGGACAGTTGCAAGCTCAGAAAAGCCTAAAATGAGCACAGAGACACCCTACAGTAATAACAAATAAAACCCTAGCAAGCCCTGGAGAATAGTGGAGAATCTTGTTTCTAGAGTTACCACCAATGGAAGATTCAAATTTCTATATTCATCATTCAGCCAAACACACACACACACACGATTTACAAAGAAACAAGAAAGTATGACTGATGGGGGGGTTGCATGCCTGAGGAAGGCCAGGGTTCACTAGACATAGACTTAACTGTTTTAAATAAAGGAAACATAGACAAATACTGGGAAACGTTGTATGAACAAAATGAGAGTATCCGTAAAGAGAATATAAGAAGAAATAACAACAACAAAAAAGAAAATTCTGGAGGTGAAAAATACAATTGCCTGAAATAAAAAATTCACTAGAAGCATCCAAAAACCAGTCTTAATCAGCAAGAACAAAGATCAGTAAACAATAAGACAATTGAAACTTAAATCTAAAGGAAAGAAAGAAAAAAAAATAGAGGAAAACTAAATAGAGCCTAAGAGATTGTTGAGACCAACATACATGTTGTGGGAGTTCCAAAGGGAGAAGAGAGAAGAAAGAGGAAAGCTAGATCTGAAAAAGTAATGGCTGAAAAATTTCCAGAACTGACCTAAATCTAGAAATCCAAAATGCTCAGTGAACTAAGTGAAGTAGGAAAACCCAAAGAGATCCTCGTTGAGAGGTATTAAAATCAAGCTATCAGTCTTGCAGGGTGCAGTGATATCTGTAATCTCTGCTCCTCAAGCAGCCAAGGTGAAGAGAAAATGAATTTGAGGCCAATCTGGGCTGGGCAACATAGCAAGACTGTGTAAAAAAAAATCTTGAAAACAGCAAAGAGAAATAATGTGTTACATTCAAAGGATCCTCGATAGGGCCAGAGATATAGCTCAGTAGCACAAGTGCCTGCCTGGCAAGTATAAGGTCCTGAGTTCGATTCCCAGTACAAAAAAAAAAAAAAAAAAAAACAAAAAAAACCAAAAAACACAAAGGATCCTCAATAAGATTATTGGCAAGGCTGTAGCTGATACATACAAAGTACTGAAAGGAAAACAAAACAAAACAACATGTCAACCAACAATTCTATAACCAGAAGAACCATCCTCCAACAATCAGGGAGAAATTAAGACATCCTTATATAAAAGTTAAAGGAATGTATTACCACTAGACACGCCCTGCAAGAAAAATGCTAAAGAGAGACTTTCAGACTGAAATGAAAAAATTATGGATAGGCACTTGAAGCCATATGAAGAACTGAAGATCTCTGGTAAAGATATACATAAGCAATTATAAAAGCTCGTTTTATTGTCGTTTTGGTTTGTAATTTCACTTTTTACTGCCTACATGATATAAAACAAAATGCATAAAATCATTAATCTTTGTTATTGGAAAAATGTGTAAAGATGTAATTTATGACATCAGCAGAAAAGGGGTGACAGTTATATAAGAGCAGAGGGGCTGGGGATATAGCTCAGTAGCATAAGCGCCCGCTTGGCAAGCGCAAGGTTGTGAGTTCGATCCCCAGTACTGAAAAAAAAAAAAAAAAAAAAAGAAAAAGAAAAGAAAAAAGAGCAGAGTTCCCGCATGCTATTAAAACTGTATAAATTCAAAATGCAGCATTAGAACTTTAGGGTATTATATGATAAACACAACAGAAAAGCTATAGAATATGTACAAATGAGCAAATGAGGAGAGAATTAAAACATTTTATTACCAAAAAAAAAAAAAAACAAAAAAACAAACCAAAATTGAACATGAGAGAAGGCAGTAGTGGATGAAACGAGGAAGAAAATATATATAAGACATATAAGGGGCTGGGGATTTATCTTAGCGGCAAAAGCGCCTGCCTGGCAAGCGCAAGGTCGTGAGTTTGATTCCAGGTACTGGAGAAAAAAAACAAAAAACAAAACAAAACAAAAAAAGACATATAAAAAATAAGTAGCGAACTGGGAGGAGTCACTCCTTGTAGTAATTCCTTTACATCAAAAGACAGTGGTTGAAAGAATGGATTTTTAAAATGATCCAGAGCATGATGGTGCATACCTGCAATCCCAGGTATATGGAGAGATGAGGTAGGAGGATTGGAAGTTCAAGGCCAGCCTGGTCAACTTAGCAAGACCTTGTCTCAAAATTTTAAAAAGTAAAGGTGGCTGGGGATACAGCACAATAGTAGAATGATTGCCTGGCACTTGTAGGGCTCTGAGTTCATTCCCCAACACCGGCAAAGAAAAAAGAACCCAACTATATTCTGGCTACAAGAGAGTCACTTTAGATCTAAAGACACAGATATGTTCAAAGTTGAAAGAATGGAAAAGGACATCGGACAAAATAGCCTTTAAGTCAAGAGACAAAGCAGGACATTATACGTTAGTAAAAAGTTCAATATAGCAAGAAAATGTAATGCTCACAAACATTTGCACACCTAATCATAGACCTCAGAATATACAGAGAAATACTGACAGAATCAAAGGGAGAAATAGACTTGTTCTATGCAGCCAGCATTACCCTAATACCAAAGCTAGATGAGGATACCAGTAGGAAAGAAATGTACAGACTAGGATCCTTTCTGAAATCTAGATACAAAAAGGCTCAACAAACTATGAGCAAGTTGAGTTTATCAGCATATTAGAGGTGTATCCATCGTGACCAAGTAAAATGCAGGCAGGAATACAAGGGTAGTTCAACATAAGTAGGTCACCAGTAAATACTGAATCTGACATTTCCTTCATTCCTTAACAGAATGAAGGAAAAAAAATCACATATGATCATCTCCATTGGTGCAGAAAGGGAATTTCACCACATTCAGACCTTTCAATGATGAAAAAAACCCTCAGAAAACTAGCAAGAGGGCAAATTCCTCAATATGTGAGGGATATTTATGAATAGCCTACAACAAACATCACACTCAATACTGAGAGAGTTTTCTTTTTAAGACCAGGAACAAGACAAGGATGACTACTTTCTCTACAGGTATTCTGGAAAGATCTACCCACAGCTATCAGACAAGTAAGGAAATAAAAGTCATCCAAATTGCAAAGGAAAAGGCAAAACTATCTTTACTCACAAATGATATGATCTTATACCTAGAAAACACAAAAGAATCCACAAAACAGCTACTAGAGTAAATAAATGAATTCAGGAAAGTTGTAGGGTACAAGATCAACAAAACTGTATTTCTATACAACTAAATACAGGCAGTTGTATTTCTATACATCAGGATTAAACAACGTGAAGAGGAAATTAAGAAAACAATTCCATGTACAATGGTACCTAAAAGAATTGAACACTTAGGGATAAATCAAACCAAGGAAGTGAGAGTTATACACTGGAAACTATAGAAAATGCTAAAAGAAGTTAAAGAATAAATAAATAGAAAGATATCCTATGTTCATAGTTAGGAAGACCTATCATTAAGTGATCTACAGACTCAACACCATGCCTATCAAAATTCTTTTTATTCTATCAAAATTCTAACATTCTTTTTCAAAGAAGTGGAAGCAAATCTTCAGATTCAAGTGGAACTGAAAGAGCTACCAAATGGCTGAAACAATCTTTAAAAAAGAATAAAGTTGAAGGACTCACACTTCCCAATTCTGAACTTACTACAAAATTACAGTAATTAAAATAGTATGGTACCAGCATAAGGGGAGACAGAAACCAACAGAACAGAAAACAGAACCTAGAAATAAACCTCCACATAAGTAGTCAATGATTTTTGGCTAAGAGCCAAAACCATTTAGTGGGAAACAAGGCAGTTTTCTCAATAAATGGTGACAAGAAAAACGATATTCACATGTAAAAGAATAAAGTTGGACCCTTATTCTCCACATACAAAATTAACACGTCTCAAAATTAAGAGGTAAAATTACAAAACCATTAGAAGAAAATGTTTGGGAAATCTTTATGATATTGGATTTGGCAACAACTGCATAGATATGATGTCAAAGGCAAGGCAACAAAAGAAAAAGGTAAATTGAGCAACAAATTAAGAATCTTGTGCATCAAAAGACACTATCAAGATATTTTTTTACAAAGCTAGAGAGGGAGAACTGACTGAATATCATATATCTAACACAGGATTAATGGACAATATATTAGAACTCCTACAACTTGACAATAAAAAGTCAATTAAAAATGGGCAAAAGAGCCAGGCATGGCGATGCACAACTGTAATCCCATCACTCAGGAGGCTGAGGCAGGCGGATCACTGAGAGTTCAAGGCCAGTCTAAAACTATACAGAGAGATCCTGTCTCAAAAGAGGGGGGGTGGGACACAAAAGATTTGAATAGACATTTCCCCAAAGAAGGCTAGATTCTCAGTATCATTAGCCATCAGGGAAATGCAGATGAAAACCGTGATGAAATGCTATGTAACACTAACTAGGATGGTTAAAATCAAGAAATGGATAAAAAAAAAAAAAAAAGAAAGAAAGAAATGGATATAACAAGGGTTGGCGGGGTTGTAGAGATATTGCAGCCCTCATGCATTGCCGGTAAGAATGTACAGGCGCAGTCACTGTGGAAAAACAGTTGGGTGGTTCTTCAAAAGGTTAAAAGTAGAACTATGATATCACCCAGCAATTCCACTCCTAGGAGTAGAGCCATAAAAACTGAAAGCAGATATCTCTGTATGGATATTCACAGCTGCACTATTTGCAATGGACAAAAGTAGAAACCATCCCAATGTCCATCAGCAGATGAATGGCTGAATAAAATGTGGTCTACGATGGAATGGTAGTCAGCCATAAAAAGGAATGAAATTTTGATATATGCTACAAAACAGACGGACCATGAGAACATGCTTAATGAAATACTCCGGACACAGAAGTACAAATGTTTTGTAATGCCATTTCTATGAAGCAACCTGATAGCCACAATGTAGAATAAAAGCTAGTGGCTAGGGGCGGGGCAAGAAGGAACGAGAAATGTTTAACTGGGTGAGAATTCATATTGAGGATGATAAAAAAGGTTTGGGTGTACACGATAGCGTGAATGTAATTAAGACCATCTTAGTTTACACTTACAAATTGTTAAAATGATAAATATTATGGTATGTATAATTTATCATAATTAAGTAATTTAAAGTGATGAAGGCATGTGGACAGGTTGAAATTGTACAAGTGGCTAGGGAAGAGGTCATTGCGAAGGTGACCTCGAAGTGAAGCCCTCAAAGAGATGAAGGACCATGCTGTCAGCTCCAAAAAGGGTCCCGGCAGAGCAGGAGCATGGGCGATGTCCTGGCGGTGGTCTGAGAAAGTCACGGAGGATAAAGTTGAACCAGAGGGAGCTCGGGGACGATCAGGTCACTGTTAAGTACTGTGGTTTCTGCTGGGACTGAGGCACCACGGCATTGTTTTGTGCGGAGGGACGTGACCCGACTTGAGTACAGTACACGATGAATAAAATAAAACACGCCTGGCCGGCTACCTGATCCACCACCCAGTGGCCACTTTGCAACTTCTCTGTGGGAAAGAGCCGCTCCCCAGGATACACATCCCTTCGGCGCCACCGGAGGGCAGTAGAGTCGCGCCGAGCGCAGCGCGGGCTGCTGGCCGCAACCCACCGTGCCGCGCCCGGCTCTCGTCGCAGGTGGCTAGTTCCCGGGATCTCTGGGCGGAAACTGGTCCCTGGCTTGGCGCCCCCGCTCGGCCCCTTTAAGAGATAGAGTTTCCGGAGCCCTGGCCTGGGGCGAGGGATGCCCTGGGGCCGAACCAAGAGTTGGGAGTAGGGGGAAGTGGCGAAAACTTTCGCAATAAATTCCAACTCGGGAGATTTCAAGTCCCCTCGGGCGTCCTTAGGGGGTGCAGAGCTTTCCCTCCAGGGAATTCTAGTAACGCCTTAGGCACAGGAAGCCCACAGCACTTTGGCGCAACCCGGCCTAGGAATCCTTGGGCAAGCGGAGAAGCGGATGCCCGCACCTCGAGCCGACTCGCCCCTCCCAGCGGGGCGCACCGAGGCGGCTCCATCGCCGGGGACGGGGGTGTAGGTGGGGAGGGAACAGGTGCGCGGCGGGACCCGCCCACTTTCAACAGGTGAATTACGCCAAGTGCGTCTCTGTTCCCGAGAACCTCGGTCCGCTTGGCCGGGCCGAGGCCGGAGCGCGTGTACGGGACCCGCCGTCCATCGGCTCCCTCCTGGCGCGCTGGCCACTTGGTTCAGGCCCTGGGGGCAGGAGCGCACCTGGGTCAGCCCACTTCCGGGGAGGGAGGCCGAGGAGCCCCTCCCCACCGCCCACCCCCACGCCCAGCCCTTGGCTACCACCCCTGTGTACCTGGGCCGATCCACTGCCCAAGGCGCGCGGGGGGTGGAGTGGCCCAGAGGATCACAGTGGGGCCGGCAAGGGTGCCCCCGAGAGCTGAAAGCGTGCGCTCTGTCCACTTTGTTTCTGTTGGTTGAAACTCCTAGAGCGCGGCAGGTTGGGCTCGGAAAAGAACAAGGAACGGAAGCGGGAAGGGGAGGAGCGCGCACCCCCGCCGACCTTGGAGCTCGCCGCGCCCCCTACTCTCCTGGTACTTGGGAGGGGACGCGCGGGCCCGACGCGCCCAGACGGCCGCGATGGCGCCGGCGGCCTTCTCGCGTTCTTGCGGGCCCGGCGCCCACACGGCCGCGGTCGTCTTCCTCTGGCTCCTTCTCAGCACCTGGTGCACAGGTACGGGGCGCGGGCGCTGCGCCGGTCGGGGCGCGCTGCAGAAGCGAGATGGACACAGCTTTCCGCGGCGGGGAGGTGGGAGGACCAGGGGACCCCTGCGGGGAGGACGCGGAGACTCGGGGTCTGCGGGTTGGGGAGGCCTCTGTGTAGCCAGGTGAGGGGATTCCCCCATCCGTCTCGCGGAGCGCTCCCTCCGCCTTGTTGGGAGATAGCAGGAAGTGAAACTCCGGAACGATCACCCCTGGAGCTGGAGAAGAAGGGGACTCTGTGGGCGGGGGTGCAGCCCGGCCCGTCACAACGGAGTCCGGTGTGGGTGGGGTCTTGCGCGCACAGCGAGTGTCTTAAGTATTGGGGTGTCGGGGAGAGGACATTTGGAGTCTGGATCAGATGTTTTCTTGGAAAAAGAGATAGGAAGGAGTTCCCAGGCTTCGAGTGGATGTGCAGTTGGGCGCTCTCCACCCCTAGCCCTGCCCCTCTCCCGCAGACTCCGCAGTATCTGTGCGGAAGAGTGGGTGACATGGACTTGTGGACCTGAAACCATCTTCCGCTGGCAGGCGCCCATCTGGGGCCGATGTTCTCTCTGGCGGGGGCCGGGTCCTTTGTACACCAGGCACATTTAGGGACGCATTTGAGGTGGCTCTGGGGGAGGCTGAAGCAGGGAGGCTGATGGAGATTTTTTTGTGGGGGCGGTGAGCCACTCGGTGAGCGAAGAGGTTTATTCCAACGACTGTACATTTCACAAAAGCCCGGGTAACTTGGAAGCTTTGGCAACTCATTTTGGATTGAGGGCTTCCTTGAGCTCTGGGACAGTGTGGGCATTTGGGCTCGCCCATGAGAGCCGTGTCCCTTTCTGTGAGAGAACAGTGGAAGGAAGAGAACCTCAGGGGTTCAGGGGCTAGGTCTGGGGAGAGGGGTGGACAGCGCATTCCAGAAATCTGGCCCTGCAACGTCGCATCTGCCACTTTTTAGCCCCACGGCTCTATAAAATGGGCATGATTATGGGAGCCGCCTCACCCGTCCTGGGGATTAAGGAACAATGAGTGTCGGGCACTCTGTAAGCCAGGCGCTTCTCAGTGTCAACTTGGTGACGAGTGGTGTGGCTCATTCTTGTCGAAGTAATTCCCCGAGCTCACAGCGGTCCCTGCTGATTCTCCTCTTGTCCTCAGCGCCTGCCGGTGCCATCCAGGTGACCGTGTCCAACCCCTACCATGTAGTGATCCTATTCCAGCCAGTCACCCTGCCCTGCTCCTACCAGATGACCTCGACCCTCACGGCACCCATTGTGATCTGGAAGTACAAGTCCTTCTGCCGGAACCGCATCGCCGATGCATTCTCCCCAGCCAGCGTGGACAACCAGATTAATGCCCAGCTGGCAGCCAGCAACCCCGGCTACAACCCGTACGTGGAGTGCCAGGACAGCGTGCGCACCGTCAGGGTTGTGGCCACCAAGCAGGGCAACGCTGTGACCCTGGGAGACTACTACCAGGGCCGGAGGATCACCATCACGGGAAGTATGTGGGGCGAGGTGGGGTGGGAGAGGAGGCTGGTGCGCCTGGGGTCTGGGCTGGCTCCTTGGTGCCCAGCCCAGAGTCCACCCCGGGAGTTCTTGAACACCAGTGTCAGAAACGATGGAAGCATGGAGGAATCCTCTCTCCCATCCATTCATCCGTTCCTTTATCTCAGAGGTTTATTGAATACCTACTATATTCCAAGTGCTATTCTAGGCCCTGAGAACATAGCTATAAACCAAACCGGCAAATCACTTCCCTCCTAGAGCTCACCTAACAGTGAGGAAGACAAATGCAATATAGACTATCAAGTGCTTGCATACAGGAAACAGGGTGATGGAGAGAGAGACAGTGTATTTTATAATAATACTAATAGTTCCTGCAATAAGAAGTAGAGTTTACAGGAAGGATTATTGACGAAGGTTCTCCTGAGTGCCAGACTCGCCGGGTTCACATAGATGAACTCATTTTGACCATGCAGTAATTGGAATGAGTGGTTTCCATTACTGTTATTTCTGAGACCCATGAGATAAAGTGACTTGCCGAGGGGCCACAGCTGGTTTGAGCTGGGTTCCAACTCAGCCGCTTTGGGCCTTGTCCCCAAGCCCGTGGTCTCTATGTTCGCCCAGGGAGCAAAGAGGAAGTGACAAGAGTGAATTAAAGGGACATGTGATCCCCGCCCCCACCCCTGCCCCAGAACCGAGGATTGAACCCAGGGCCTTTGCACTGAGATCCAGCCCTAGCCTTTTTAAAAATTAAAATTTTTTTTTTTTGATTTTGAGATAGAGCCTTCCTAAGTTTCCCAGGCTTTCTTTAAAATTTTGATCCTCATGCCTCAGCCTCCTCCGCACAGTGCTGCAGTTGGAAGTATGTGTCACCACACTCATTGGTGCGAGGTGTCCTTGTAGATGCTGGGGACCGAGTGGTGATCAGAACAGCTGAAGTCCCAGCCCCAGGAGATGGCATTCTAAGTTAGGATGGCAGAGAACAAGCAGGTTTAGAGAGAGTAAGAGAAGCGAGTGTCAGATGAGTGCTGTGTGCGGTGACTTGGATGTGCCCACCTTATGACCGCTGTCAGCGTGGTCTGAGGTGGGGCTGGGACTGGGCCCTGGAGAATCCGGAAGGCAGAGGGGAGGGGATGGTGGCAGTGGGTGGGGGTGGGGACGAGGGCCCACTCGTAATGGGTGTGTCCTCCCAGTGCCTTACAGAAAGATAGGGTGTTGATCCTTGCCGTCGGGGAAGAAGGGAGGGAGACTCCCGAGAGACCGGGCCGTGGAGCACACTTCTGACTTTGTCAGACCTCAGATAAAAGCAGGGATACAGGTACAGGGTCCATTGGCTCTGTTTTAGGGGCGGGACCAGAGTAGCCCAAAGCATGCTGCTATTCCTGAGGCTTCTTGGGGGTTTACGCTGCGCCAGCCTGGACTGGGCCTGACTGTCCAGTCTCCCTTGGGACAATAACATAGGGAAAGTGCCCTGGGAATCTGGGCTCCTCTATTGGACACAAAACCCCAGAGCCACCCTCCAGCTCTACCCGAGGGGGACCTTCATGTCCAGAGACCTTACAGGCCGGTTCTTTCAAATGGCCTTGACTCAAGCCACATTTGATACAGGCCATGGTTGGTAACTGTGTATCGTGCCCATGTTCTTTCAGAACCCCAGTAGCCACGGGAGCTTCCTGCACTTGCACTTTGTGGGGGCAGGGCAAAGCGGACCTCTCTGTGGTGTTCCTAGGGTCACCAGCTGCCTTGGGCTTACGAGGAAGGGAAGGATAGTTCCAGGCAGAGGGTATCCCTCCATCCGGGTAGATTATGTCCCCTCTGCTTCCCTGCTTCAGGCAGAGTGGGGCACCTACCTCTAAGGCCCCGTTCTTTCCCACCTCAGGCTGCTTGGGGCCATGTACTGCCCACTCTCAGCGGTACTGGAGCGCAGAGCCCTTGGGGTCTTGGAAATCGTGAGGCCACCCTTGCTATGTGTAGATAAGGAAGCAGAGGCCAGAGTTGAGGAGGAGGCCTGCTGTGCTCCCTCTGGAGACTGGCATCTTTTCCCTGCACCTGAAACAATTGAAACTATGCCCAGCCACTGTGACCAGGAACAGGGTCCACCCTGCAGGAAGGAAGTAGGTTGAAGCCTTAGGATTGATCAGAAGAATCCGGAAAGCCATATTTCTCGTGGCGTTTGAAAACATGTAGTCCAAACAAAACACATCAAGGCCCAGATCCGGCCTTGGGGATCCCAGGTTTCAACTGCTGGCCTCTGTAATTGTTTGCCACAGCGGGGGTTCCTGTCCACCTCTTCAGCCCCGGGGAGGGACCAGCTCTTGCGTTCTAGTGTTGGGGATGCATGATTAGAATCTCGGTGGACCTCCGTCTTAGGCCCTTGGAGGACAGAAACAGGCAAGCTAGGGTGAGCTCCCCACCCAGGCCAGTTCCATAGTTTCTTGGCCACTTTCTTCCCATCAGCCCCGTTGACCTGTTTCACCTCACCCTGTGGACCCGAACCTGCTTGCAAGACAGCTCGGTGTGGACAGTATCTATGAGCGCCCCAGACCACAGCACGTAGCAGCTGCCTACTGACGTTTCTCAAAGATACAGATGGAAATGACGGCCAAAGGGCATTGAAGGAAAACCTATATTTAGGAGAACTCGGTTCACAGATTTTGAAGGTTCAGTGAAAGAATGGATTCAGACAGAGGGGTCTACCTAGCACATAGCAGTAGCTCGATAAATGGTAGCTGAGTGCCTGGCTCTGGAGGGGAGGTAGGCGTCGCTGCCATTCTGCCATGAAGGATCTGAAGGTCACCTCTGGGGGCCTCCTGGCTTCCTTATTTACAGCCGCATAGCTCTCCCTCCCTACCTGGTACTCGCTCCCTTTCCAATTCATTTGCTCTGTATGGCTTATCACTGTCTGATATGCAGTATGGTTAGTTTTTGTCTCTCTTCCGTACTTAGAATATGAGCTCTACCAGGGTGAGTTCTCCATGGCGGTGATTCTCAGAAGTCTTGGTCTCAGTGCCTCTTTATACTCTTAATTATAGAGGACTTCAGGAAGCTTGTGTTTGTGTAGTGAGCAAATTGCATTTTGAAAACATTTCAAAGACAATCAAAAACTCATTACAAAAATAACATACATTTTCTGCCAGGTGTGGTGACACACACCTATAATCCCTGCACTTGAGAAGCTGAGGCAGGAGGATCTCCATGAGTTCAAGGGCAGCTTAGACTGCATAGTGAGTTCAAGGCCAGCCTGAACTGTGAAGTGAAACCTTGTTTCAAAAAACCGAAAATAAATAAGTAAATACTTTTTATGAAAATACAATCATATTTTTACCCCCTCAAAAAAGGTTTTAATGAGAAGAGTGGCATTGTCCCCTAGTTTTGTAAATCTCCATAACATCTGGCTGAGTAGAAGCAGCTGGATTCTCAAAGCTTCTTTGATCTTCTGTGCTATCACTCACATGTCACATACCCTGTGGAAAAGGCCACAGTATGCTGAGGAGAGATTTAAGGGAAAAGGCATCTGATGTCTCAGTACTACAAGTAACTCTGACCTCAGGGATCCCCTGACAGGGTCTGGGGGAGCCCAGAAGTACACAGACCAAACAATTCCCATACACCACCTGCCTCAAGTGCTGCCTGGAGCATAGGACACATTTGGTACTTACTGACTGTTCGCTGAATGGATCCAGTGTCTGTCTGTAACATGTGTCCAGAATGTTGAACAGACAACAGGAGCTAAGGAGGGTTGGCATGAGGAGAGGAGGGCCTGTTTCTGATCCCGGGACAGGCCCCGTCTGAGGCCATCATGACCTGGACCAGTGATGGGGAACCTTTCAGAGCTTTCAATGATACAAACAGCCTACTGTGGCATGCGTGCCATGGGTTCTCACCACCACTGACCTAGACAGACTCGTTTCTTGGTACTCGTTTTGAGGTACCTTGGTACTTCGTTACCTTGGTACCTGCCCTGTTGTCAGCCAGGGCAGAGATGGGCACTTGGGCAGGCAGCCGTGCAAAGTAGGACAGCCAGGGAACGCTCCTCCCTGCTGAGGCTTGGGTACCAACAAGGAACCAGCCAGGAGAAGACACAGTGGGGGAAAGAACCACCAGAGGGGAAGCTGAGGCAGGCCCGAGCCGAGCACATGTGCAGCCAGTGGAGATGGGGCTGAGGCTGGTGTGGTGAGCCGTGGTCAGTGTCCCAAGGGCCCTGTGGGCCAGGGAAGGCGTTTGGAGTGGTGTGGAGCACCTGTGGGCTGTCCTGGCTGGGGTGCTCGTCTCTAGCCTGTTCCTGTCCCCTGTGGGCCTATAGCAGGGTTGCCGAGCAGGTGCCGTCCTCTTCCACGCTTGTGAATGGCTGAAGGAATTTAACTAATTAGGGCCTGAGGAGTAGTTAGGGAACCGGATGTGCTAAAAAGACTTTCATTAGTAGCATAATTAACAGGCTCCTTGCCTAGGGCAGCTGCAGACCAGAGCGTCCCCAAGCCCCGGGCCTGACCTGGAATGTAAGGACGGAAGGGCAAGGGGTGGGAACTGGGAGAGTCGGTCTCTCTCTGCCACGCATCACACCCTCTCCCTCAGTGCCCGGCATCTCCTCCTGTCTGCAATCTGGCCTAGTTAGCAGTGCCTCCTTCCTCTGGCCCAGCCCCCAGTCTGTACCAGGCGCTGTGGCTGTGTCGGGGGAGGTCCGGCCTTGGCTTTGAGGCCACTGGGAGGATGTGCTGAGTTGAAGAGTGCTGGCCCTGGAGTCAGTCTGTCCCAGCTGTGCCATCATCTCCCACACAACAGGGTGATGCCTGTATCCTAGACTTTGTGAAATAAGCCACATTCAGTGTTCCCAGCGTACAAAGTAACATATCCTACCCAGGCGAGGTGGCACGCACCTGTAATGTCAGCACTCTGGGAGGCTGAGGCAGGAGGTTCATACATTGAAGCCTAGCCTAGACAACTTAGCAACTTAGGGAGACCCTGTCTCAAAAAAAAAAAAAAAAGACTAGGGGTATAGCTCAGTAGAAAAGCCCAGGATTTAAAAAGCAGTACCAAAAAAAAAAAAATTGTATGCTAGAGGTGAGAATCGTTTGATTTTTTATTTTTGATTGACTGATTCATTTGCAGCCCCTCCCCAGCTGGCCCATGGGTATGGGGTGGGGAGGCTCAGGCCCTGCCAGGGAGAGGTGCCTGTCCCGAGGTGCCCTCATGCCTCTTTCCCTGACCAGGTGCTGACCTGACTTTTGAGCAGACAGCTTGGGGAGACAGCGGCGTGTACTACTGCTCTGTAGTCTCAGCCCAGGACCTCCAGGGCAACAATGAGGCCTACGCAGAGCTCATCGTCCTCGGTGAGTGGGGCTAGGCCTGGGCACTGGGGAAGTGGGGGACAGCCCTTCTGTCCGTGTCTGTGTCTGCCCTCCGTCTTCGGCCCACTTGCTGGGCTCTGTTGCCTGCTTCGCTCTCCCCTGCGGCACGGCCAGTCACTTGGGCTTCTCTGCCCTGCACCCCAGGCAGGGATCCTGCCCCTTGCAGTGTTTCAGGGCAGCCTGAGCCAAACTCAGAGTGGAGAGAGTCAGAACAGTGTCTTTTTTGAGAACCACTAAGAGACATGATCAGACTGGATCAGCAGTGGGTGGGGAGGGTTGATTGTGATTGTGTACATAGTTGTCCCTGAATATCCATGGAGTCGGGTCCAGGACACCAAAATCCAAAGATGCCCGAGTTCCTTCTATAAAATGAAGGTATTCACACCACCTCCCTGCACCTTCCTGTGTGCTGGAAATCCTCTCTGTGTTAAGCAGTAGCCGAGTACAGCTGGTAACAGTGGGAACGCTGTGTAAGTAATCGTTTCACTGTATTGCTTAGGGAGCGATGGCAAGGAAGACAGTCTGCCCATGTTCTGTGAGGGTGTCACACCCCCCACCCTGGCATTCTGTCTGCCTGGATACCGAGGGCCAGCTGTAACTGAGAGGAGGCTGGGTTCATCTTCTGCCACACCCCTGGGGCCACAGTGCACCCTAAGTCCTTTGCCAAAATGGCAACTTTGCCTTCTGCTCTGCTGGTGTGGCACTGTGATTTACACAAAGCATGGATGTGTAAGAGCGTCTAAAGTGAAGCAGTGCCAGGGGCAGGGTGCGTGTCACGGGCAGCCCTGGTCTGGCTCGGGGCCTCCGTCCCCTGCATGGAGGGGGCACTGTCATGGGGTGCTCTGTGCAAAGATGCGGGGGGGGTGTCCTCGTGTGTGCAGAGCACATGAAGGGACCACAGCCTGAGGTGCTTGTGCCGCAGGACAGGAGCCCAAGTGCCTGTGACCAAGAACCTCGGTAAAACCCACAGTTGGCACCAGTGGCTGTCAGAATTTCACCCCAGGACCCGTTTGCATTCTAAGACATTTGCGAGGGTCTTGGACGTTTTGTTAAAAGTTTTTGTGGGTTCTGCCTGCAGTTTTACATGTTAGAAATTGAAACTGGGAATTTTTTTGAGCCACGTCTTGCCATATAGTCCAGGCTGGCCTTGAACTCTTTCTATAGCCTACGCTGGTCTCAAACTCATGACTCACCTGCTTGAGGAAACTGGGAACTTTTTAAAGCAAAAGATACACAAGTGCACAGTCCATTAGCCATCAGGGCAGTGTTTGTCGTCATGTCACCAAGCCCCCGGAAACCCCCCTGTGTACTGTGAGACAAGGAGAGAGGGGAAAAGGCAAACATTGCCTCAGTGTGTTAGTCAGCTTTCTGTCACTATAAAAAAAATACGTGACATAGATCAACTTTGAGGAAGAAAGATTTATTTTAGCTCACAGCCGAGTCTGTGGTTTCAGACCATGGTCAGCTGGCTCCATTGCTTTAGGCCTGAGGTGGGGCCCAAGCATGATGGTGGAAGGGCCCAGCAGAGGACAGCTGCTGTCCTCACAGCAGCTGGGAAGCAGAGAGAGGGAAGCCAGAGGAAGGGTCTGGACCCGGTGAAGTCTCCAAGGTCACACCCCCGTGAGTCACTCCCTTCAGCTAGGGCTCGCCTCAGTCCCTACCCCTCCCAGTGATACCATCATGTGACCTAATCAGTGCATTCATCACTGACGAATTAAAGCCCCACTGCTCCCCAAAGCTGTCAGCTGGCAGTCCAGCCGTGAGCATGTGTTCTGGGAGGCATTTCAAACCCAAAGCAGCAACAGTGCCATTCTGAAGAGTTCTGGCTTTGTAGGTGGGGCCACACTGTGAGGCCCACTGATTGGCATGCTTCTGCCCCGCCCTGGGGCATATGAGGCGGCGTGAGCTCTGGAGAGGGCGGCTGCTGTAGAGTGGTGAGAGTGAGTGTGTGTAGGCTTCTGTACTACAGTGCTCCTGGGCCACAGAGCTCCTCCTGTGGCACCTGAGGGAAGGCAGAAACGGGGTTGGGAAATGTGCATAGCTGACAGCGCGTGGGTAGATAGATGGTGGACCCTCCTGGGTTAAGGAGCCAGGACCACATCTGACTTGCATGGGCCATAGCTACTTTGGCCTTCATGGACCCTTTCTTGCATGTAAAGATATGGATACATCTTTGATGACTGTGTTGTAAAAAGAAGCCATTATTCAATAGAGTATATTTTTCTTCAGATTGTAAGGCCTTCTGATGGGCCGCAGGAGCACTCTGCCTACTTTGCTGTCACCTGGGTGGGAACTCTGGGACGACAGGGCCCATGTAGGTGAGGAGGATGTGGGGCCAGAGTGTGTGTGTGGATGATGGAAGGCAGGCTCACAGCAGGGGCGGAGGACAGGCCCCTCCCGGCCACCAGCCCCTCCTTGTGTACCACAGGGCACACCTTGCCTGGGCCAGCTGGAGCTGGGCATTTTTTTTAGGGGTAGGGGTGGCCTGGGCTGGCTCTGGCCAGCATAATTTCCTGTTTCTCTTTTGTCCTTCCAGGCAGGACCTCAGGGGTGACTGAGCTTTTACCTGGTTTTCAGGCGGGGCCCATGGAAGGTACGGGGGGTGGAGTCCTCCGTGGGGTGCTTCTCCTGGGAGCCCTGACCCACCGCTTCTGTCTGTCTCTGTTGTTTTCCCCACCCCTAACCACCGCTCGCTGTGGGCCCCCATTAACCCGCCTACTCTGGGACAGGTAGTAGCCTGGCTGTAGGTTTGGGGATGGACTGGGCTGGCCAAGGACGGGCTTGGGGTGTAGGCAGGGGCTCAAGTGACTGGCATCTGCTGTGCTCTTCAGGGGCTTGGGGCTGGGCTGGGGCTCTCTTCCCTTGTAGGAGCCAGAGTCTGTCTCGCTGTGGCCAGGCTGCCTCTTACTTTCTGCCTTGTCTGTCCTAACCCAGGGCAGTCCTTCACTTGGGACTGGGTCGTAGAGTTGGACAACCCTCTGCCACTGCACCCCAGCCTCTGGCACGGAGAATCTTGCACAGGCTGCAGATTCCCCGATGAGCTTTGCAAACAGGCCCCTTCACCCAAGCATCAGCTCCACGCTGCCCTGCGGAGCCTGTCCCTCTCTGTCCCTTCTTGTCCCCTCCCAGCTCAGGGCCTGTCCTCATCTCTGCAGACTGGCTCTTCGTGGTCGTGGTGTGCCTGGCTGCCTTCCTTGTCTTCCTCCTCCTGAGCATCTGCTGGTGTCAGTGCTGCCCACACACCTGCTGCTGTTATGTCAGGTGCCCCTGCTGCCCGCAGAAGTGCTGCTGCCCAGAGGCCTGTAAGTACCCATGAGTGCCAGTCCTGCATGGGTAGGACACATCTTCCTGCCCCCCAGGAAGATGCCACTGGCATGGAGGTTAGTGATGAGAAAGTAGGCCAAGGAGTACCTGCTACTTTGGATTATCATTTGCTTACTTCAACTTTTAATTTTCATGAACTTTGAGGTTTTTCTTGTAAGTATAATTTTTGCACATGGTAAAAGGAAAATGTTCCATTAGTACAAGGTATTATTTACAGGAGATTGAAACGTCCCTTGAAAATAAAATCTCAAGTGAAAAATGGTAAGTAATCAAGTAAGGTTTAGGCACCATGTAATTTTCGCAAATTTTCCAAATACACAAATGCTGCACATTTTGTGTGGACCCTGTGTGAGGAAGGTGTGTAGCACATCAGAGCAAGCACCTGTGGAAGATTAGGAATAGAAGTGGGACCAGAGATGAAGGGGCCAAAGACAGAGAAAAAGAAAAGAAGAAAGTTAAGATGGGCATTGCAGCCCATGCTTGTAATCTCAGCTCCTTGGGAGGCTGAGGCAGGAGGATCAAATGTTCCAGGCCAGCCTGGGCAACTTAGTGAGACTCTCAAAAAAAAATAAAAAGGGGTATGGTTGTAGCTCAGCACTCCTGGGTTCAATCCCCAGTACCACAGGGAAGAAAAAAAGAAAAGAAAAAGAATTTCCCTCTCACCGTAGGAATAAATTCTCCCTTTCATCACTGCCCTAGGCCACTCTGTAAGGACAACAGCTGTTGCTAGTTCCTCGGTGTCCTTCAGGAGGGTGTCCGGGTGGACCAGCCTCTTGGCGCACAGCCTGAAGTGCACGCACTCACGGGAATGACAGGCAGTTACAAGCAGAGGCAGGTGGAGGTTCCCAGCTGGCTGGGTGCCCAGATAGCCGGCAGGCTCAGACCCAGTGAGGGCTTTGGCCTCGCAGAGTCTCACCTTTCCCCCCATGAGGTGGGGCTCCTGGCAGAGGAGCCCCACCATTCAGGGTGAGTCTGGGGATTTGGGGTGACCTTGTGTGCACAGCCTTTAGTGCAGGGCGGGGCCTGTGTACCGTGCCTGCTAGCTGCTGCCCAGCATCAGTGACTGCAGGCCGGGGTGCAGATCAGGGACAGCCACACCTGTGTGAGCTACAGGCATCATTCCCTTCTCTCCGCTGTCTCCTGGGGTGATGTGAGCATCAAGGGGGCCTGTGAAAGTGCGCAGGACAGGGCCGCAGCGCCACCACCCGTGCCGGCTCACATCTTGGCCACTGAACTCAGTGGCAGCAACCTTGTTCCCTGTAGTGCTCCCTGAGCAGGCCCCCGAGGACGGGCTTGGGGTGCTCTCTGCGGATGACGCTGGCTGTCCTGTCCCCTCATTGCTTCAGTGAAAGCTCTGGCCCAGGCGGTGGGCGTTAGTCCACTTTACAGATCCCCAAGAGCTGCCACCAGGTTGGCAGTTAACTGCTAAGAATGAACGTGGCCAACACGGCCCAAGTCTGTTTCCAGGCCCTTTGTGTCACAAGGCTGAAATGATGTCACCCACGAAAAGCAGCCCCCTTCCTCGTGCTGCAGGGCCCCCTCCACCCCTTCTAATCAGGAAGCAGGAGCTCCCACTGCTAATTACAGCATGGGCAAGTCACCTGAGATAATGAAAGGTTTCTCCTAGGTGGGGCTAAATCCTTAGACTTCTGCTTCTGAGCTAAATCAGTCAGGGGATGGGGGGCTCAGAGCCTGAGGAGTCCCAGGGAGGAAGTAACTTTGCTGAAGCAGCAGCCATGGGGACCTGCCTTCCGCATGGGGAGGAAGCAAGCAAAAAGGATTTGCCCCTGAGCTGTCAAGCCTAGAGCCAGGTGGGCAGGGTGGGAATAGGTGTGGCTGAGTTGGACACCCGAGAGGAGCTATTTTGCTGCTTGGCAGAGGCAGACGGGTTAACTGCAGAGACCCCCGGACCCTCCTTTTGGTTACACCTGGCTGCGAGGTGACCCAGTGGAGGGGCACCCACCTCAAATGACAGCAGAAAGGTCAGGGGAGCCCCTAGATGACGACTCACAGTCCTAGAGCAGGGGCTCAGCCACCCAGGGAGAAACTTGGTTGCTGCCTGTTGTGACAGTGGTAGGCCAACGTGGGCCTTATCTTGAAGTGTGGCTCGGCCCACTGTCAGCTAAAAGCATACAGAGGCATCTATCAATGCGGTGCCTGGAAAGTTGGAATTCCACATGGAGCTTTTTGACTGTCAGTATATTGGCCTGCCACATCGGAGTTGTGGGCTGCCAGTGTGCACCCTATTCCCAAAGCTCTTCAAGGAATCGCCTAGGAGATGGGACTCAGGGAAGCAGATGACCCGTGGCCTTGGGGGTCATGCGGAAATGGAATGGGTGGGGAGGTACAGGCCTAGATCCCTCCAGAGCGCGGTCATGGTATAGGACAGCCTGGTGCCTTCTCACACCCCCTGTGCCCTCCTAGTGTATGCTGCTGGCAAAGCAGCCACCTCAGGGGTGCCAAGCATCTATGCCCCCAGCACCTACGCCCACCTCTCCCCTGCCAAGACCCCACCCCCTCCGCCAGCCATGATTCCCATGGGCCCTGTCTACAATGGCTACCCTGGAGGGTATCCTGGAGACTTCGACAGGAACAGCTCAGGTAAGGCCTGGGGAGAGCCTGAGTGGGCAGGGGTGGGCTGGGCCGGAAGGAAGAGTGGATGGGGGAGAGGGGCTGGGCAGCCACTGACAGCATCTCTCTTAGTGGGCGGCCACAGCTCCCAGGTACCCCTGCTTCGAGACACGGACAGCAATTCAACCTCTGGTAAGAGTCCATCATTCCAAGGTTGGGCAGTTGAGGGGCAGGGTGGGTGGATCGGCATCCTTCCTGCAAGCCTGGTCACCTCCACCCCTGTCCCTAGAAGTCCGCAGTGGCTACAGGATCCAGGCCAATCAGCAGGATGATTCCATGCGAGTTCTGTACTACATGGAGAAGGAACTGGCCAATTTTGACCCCTCTCGTCCTGGCCCTCCCAATGGCCGTGTGGAGCGGGGTGAGCAGGAGACCTGGGTCCAGTGGGGCAGGGGGAAATATGTTTCCTTGATGCCCCGGGGGTGCTTGCTACATAGTTCCTCTTCCCTACCCCTGGGCCCCTCCCAGCATCAGTGACATCCCCTTCCCAACAGCCATGAGTGAAGTCACCTCCCTCCATGAGGACGACTGGAGATCCAGACCTTCCCGGTGTCCCGCTCTCAGCCCAATCCGGGATGAGGAGTGGGGTCACCGCTCCCCTCGGAGTCCCAGGAGGTGGGAGCAGGAGCCCCCCACAGAACGGGCAGGGAGTGGCCGGCCCCGAGCCCGATCTGTGGATGCTCTGGACGACCTCACCCGGCCAGGCTCCGCAGAATCGGGAAGGAGGTCTCCTGCAAATAGCGGGAGGAGGGGGCGGGCCTGTGCACCCCCTCGAAGCCGCAGCCGTGATGACCTCTACAACCCAGATGATGACTCGAGGGACTTCCCACACTCGAGAGATCCCCACTATGATGACTTCAGGTCTAGGGACCGCCCTCCTGCTGACCCTAGATCCCGCTACCGGTCCCGGGACCCTCGGGATGATGGCTCCAGGTCCAGGGATCCCCAGTATGATGGGCGGCTACTAGACGAAGCCTTGAGGAGAAAGGGACTGGGGGAGAGGAGGAGGCCTCACAGGGAGGAAGAGGAAGAGGAGGCCTACTACCCTCCAGCGCCACCCCCATACTCGGAGACGGAGTCTCAGGCCTCGCGGGAGCGGAAGCTCAAGAAGGTGAGCAAGCAGCCCCACCCCCTCCGCCCTTGCAGACCCTCTCATGCCGCCTGCTCACACCTTCCTTTCCTTCTCTTGCAGAACTTGGCCCTCAGTCGGGAAAGTTTAGTCGTCTGAGCTCACATTTTGTATGTAGCTTTTGTACTTCGTTTGTGGTACTGGGGATTGAACCCACAGCCTTCGCACTGAGCTACGTCCCCGACCCTTTTTTTTTTTTTTAACTTTTGAATTGTGAGACAGGGTCTTACTAAATTGCTCAAGCTAGGCTCGAACTTTCAATCCTCCTGCCTCAGCCTCCCAGAGTGTTGGGGTAACAGGCGTGCGCCACTACTCTGGGCTAGTACTTTTTTTTTTTTTTAATTGGAGAGAATACTGAAGATGTTCCCTCTTAAAGTCTAATAAAATTGATAATCACAAGGCCTGTCTTGAGAGAAGTGTTTGTTGCTGCGGGAGGTGGGGGTCCCGGGTAGTTTAGGCGTATCTAGAAAATGCCACGTCCCGTTTTCCTACCCGGACCAGAGTCCCGGGTCAGGAGGAAGACCTGGGTCCGCCTGCAGCCTGCCTTCTCCGTCTCCGCAGGCCAGGAGTACGTGCCCCCGCGCAGCCTCCACCCCGGCTTGCGTGCGCGCCCCGGCCCCGCCCCGACGTGCGCATGCGCCTCGCGTCTCCCCGGTCGTGCTCGCCGCCGGGAGCGCGCGTGCGCGCGCCTCTCCCATTCTACCCCCTCCCCCTCGGCCCCGACCTACTTTCCTGTCTCCAGACCCCCGCAGCTTGTCAGGCCCCCGGCGTTCCACCTGGGCCCGCGTTCCAGCCGGCGCGGCCGGGAGGCTGCGGCGGTGGCCTCGCTCGCGTCCGCCGAGACCCAGGTCC